AAGCAGACTCCCTGCCGAGCAGGGAGCCCAATGCGGGACTCGATCCTGGGACTCCAGGATCATGACCTGAGCCGAAGGCAGTCGCTTAACCAACTAAGCCACCCAGGCACCCTCAATGATTATTCTTATATCTGCTCATTCCCATGCCCAATTCACACATCACACCATTTACCATTTCTCCTAAGCTATTTGTTTGAATACCTTTGGTATTTATTGGTAATTCCTGGGTTTGATTAATATTGAAACTCAATATAGATTCTTGAGGTCTTTCATTGAAGCTTTCCTTGCTCAGTGACATGACTGAAGTTGGTTCCGTGTTTCTCTAAGGCAGAACCATGAGCCACAGTTCATCTTCAACACACTATCAAGCCCATCCAGCAAAGCCTTTTCTAGTTCCTTGCTGCAAAGAAGGAACCAAGACTTTTTTGGGTTTGAGATAGTAAGGCCATTCATTGTTTTTTGAATGAATACATTTCTGGGAATGTATTTACTAAAAATAAACCAGAACAAACATTTTTGCTAGGTTTGTAAAATGTCCCCCTTTCTTCCCTATAAGTTTCCACACTGCCTTCTAAAACCACAGCAAGACAACATACATTTAAAAATAATCTCTCACCATCGGTAATTTAAAGTAGCCCAAATACCAGAGTGACCAGCACCAATTCCACCACTGTTGGCTACTTGCTCAGAAAAGACAAATGTACTCACACCCACATGCATGTTCTCCAGAAAAGAAACCAAGCATGTGACCCATAGCAGCTGTCTGCACTATGCTTAGCAAACAGATCATCTTTGAAAACATGTTTCATCATATAAGTAGATTTACAGGTAATCATGCACAGTTTTCATGGAAACACTTCTTTTCTCAGTAGAGACAAGAACATACAAATAAATAAAAAATAGATTGTTTCTTACCTTTAAGAAAGCAGGCAAAAGCTATACTGTTGGTGGGATAGTGTACCAAGTAACAGACTTTTGTACACTCTTTCTTACTGGTGGTATACAGTCTACAGGAAAAGTAAATATATAGGTATGTATAAAATAAATCACACAATATTCCTTTTATTCTTTTTTTTTCCCTTTTGAAGAAGAGGCTGCGATAGAGACCATAGACATTACGCTCACTCTTTCAGTGTGCTCAAGAGCCTTTGGTAGACCAGTTCACCACAATTCAGGTACCTCTGAACATGGGAGTGCTGGTGCCTCTTGATTTAAGGCAGTCGGGTTTTAGTTGCTTGAGCTGTAGCAGTTGAGGGAACCAGCTCCCAGATAAGTTATCTATCTGGTCAGAGCTTTCTTTTCTTCCTTTTGCCATCCCTTTTTTTTTCCCTCAGCCTAGTCCAGCCATGCTGACCAGCCTGCATGGTTAGTCCAGCAGGATGAAACAAATAGCATAATGTTGAGAATGTTAGAGATCCAAACAAATGAAGAAGCAAAACAAAACAAAAACCATAACAAATTAACACAGCACAGGAGCGTTTTCCAGAATTTTCTAGGCATCATTACTTATGTAGGGCTTGGTGTCCATATCCATTTTCCAGCAGTATATATATATATTTTAAATCAAATGCCTCCTTATATTGACAGTTCAACTATTTTATGTAATAATTACCTCTTTGAGAACAGCACAAATTTTCATGTATATGTTTTCCTTATAGTAGGTGAAAAAATGGTAGTAAAAAAAAATAAAAAAAAACCAGCATCAGAATACACACTTGTATTTAAAATACCTTATTTTAGATTTTCTATTTTAGGTACAAATTGTTGTTCTAAAATATGCTTCATCACACAGTGTACTCATTAGTGTATGCCTAGCCACTTTGTCAGAGTCAGTTAATCATATATTCCCACATCCAAGAAGGGGGAGTCCCAAGCTGTCCACCTGCCTGATATTTCTAGTTGCTACTGACCTTCCAGAGTCTAAACTATCTGCAACCCATGCAGGTACTTGAGGACTTTCTCTGCACTACCTGGGGACATTGGCTTAGAAAACGGATGGCAGTTTAGGACAAAGGTAGGTAAGGGCTGCTTATCACTATGCACTGCAATCCTTTACAAGGAGAGCATCTGACCAGAGGATAATTCGCAGAGCATCTTCTGTTTCTGATCAGTCCAGGGGAGGAAGGCAGCAGTTTTTATCCACCCATCTCAATAAAGCCATGCTGCCTCAGTTAATAGTATTCATCCAACTGGAAAAGGTTGGTTAGTTGCCTAGCGGCCATCGATAAGCCATGTTCCAAACACAACAGGTCCTCTTGTTTATTTAGCATCTACATGTTTGCCACAAACAAACATCTGCCACGTCAGCAATAGAAAGTGTGGGGAAACATGCTGAATTCAGGCTGCAGATGTGAGAACCAAAACTTGAGGTGCCCTTCTTTTTAGAAAGAAATGTTGAGAAGGCATCATCGTGGCCAGATCTAAAGCTATCCAAAGTAGGTCAGGCTCTTCTGATCCTCTAGCTATAGAAATCTTGTTTGTATACATAATTCAACAAGTAGCTGAACTAAACCCTTAGACCTCCTAATGTTTTTCAATCCCAATGCAGAAGCCAACTAGCACTCGCCCAACTCTGAATATCTAATGCCAGTAGTGTACAGATACGTTAAAATTTTAAGAAGATTTAGTTTTTATGCAATCCGCATGGAAGTTTTTCTTTTAAGCAATGGAATTTCAACTGAAGAAGCAACCTAAGAGGAAAACTGAGCTTCTTGGGGAAAACTCAGGCAGTGTTGGGGCAGTTTTAATTTCTGCCCGTAGTAAGCCAACAAGCAAATTCGTTTTTATGTAGACATGTAGTTGCAGTAGATGAGTAGAAGCGTGCATGCACCAGATGGCAAGCTGCAATGATGGAGCAGAGCTGTTAAAAATGAAAACACTCAAGATTGAAATGCACTGAAACTAAGTGTTAAGAGCAACAACGAATAAGGGGACATTGCTGTTTCATTATTTACTTTGTAGCTCATACTATAAACCCGACTTCCTCTCAGATACCCTCTCTCTGAGAATAGTGTACAGAATTTCCCCTTTGGAAAGACATGTTCCTTTTTCAAGTACATGGTATGTGCTTTTGTTTCTTCTTCACCAAACAGCTTAGTTTCAGCAAATAATTCCTTTGTCTTTGCTACCAAAGTTCGGGAATTTGAGAATATTTGAGCTATATTTGTTATTAAATAGAATATAGTAATATTCCCTCACATCAGGTAGTCTTATTGTTTATTTTCATGAATTTTTCATTACTGCTCTTTGCCTACATATATACATTTTTGCATTGCTCAAGACTGGTTTTCTGAATAAAATTACTATCTATGATACCACTATTTCCAGATTAGTGGCTCCTTTGGATCATTTGAAATAACTAATTGATTGATTGTATTTTTGTCTCATCTCAAATGTTTCATCCCTTTAAGTTGACTTTATCCCAGGTCAACATCACTGTGAAAACTTTGGGAGACATGTCCAATATGTGTCCTAGATAAAATCCTTGCCTATTAAGACACTAATTTCTAGAGATGAGCTTTCTGATACAGTATCTCACACAGATGGCTATTTAAATTGAAATTATTTAAATTATTTAAAATAAACAGTATTTTTCCTCAGTTAAGTAGCCATATTTCAAGTGCTGATTGGCCACATGTGACTAGAACATTTCTACCACTATAAGGTTCTACTGGGCAGATTTTGTGTGGATAAACTCTTGATTTTTTGGGGAGGACCTTTGGGAGCTTGGTCATCAGAAACACCAATGTTTGGAGGTACATGAATCTCCTCCTACGGTTAGGCAAATACCTATTCAAATTACTTATGGTATTTTAGGGAGTGTCTACACAAAATCAAAAGTACTAAAACAATTTTTAAATTGTTTTGGACTGTTTATAAGACAAGGACTATTTGATTTCATTTTTTTCCCCTGAAATGTTTATTTTTGCTCTGTGTAGACACCAAAACATCATTAACAAAACCCAACAAAACTTTTTCATGGGAAGGCACCAAATGAATTCCAAATGGAATAATTGTCATGATTGGCATAGATAATAAGTTATATAAATTTTTGAGTAAGTAAGATGAGGCCTCTACCTGGGCAGCCTTCTTTGAGCCCAAGTTACTCCTATCTTTGTAGACAACACAACAACAATAATACTTTTCCCAGCACATTTAACTAAAGAGTCTGCAGCACACATCATTACATGCTTTATATGCAACCTGAATCATCAGTTGAGGAAGCCAAAAGAGTAATTTCTGTTTTGGAATTATGACATGACACTTACATTCTTAGGAACAGAGCAGCGAAGAGAAGTAGGCGTGGATTTGGGAGTCAGACCTGGGTTTCAGTCCAACCTCCGCTGCTAACTAGATGTACGACTTTGGTAATGGTACTTAATCTCACTAAGCCTGGGTTTCTTCGGTAAAAAGAACAAATCTCCTACAGAGGTACCGTGAGGGGTAAGAGATCTTGCACACAAAGCATTTTGGATAATGCCTATTTCAAAGGGTAGCTGATGCAAGAATTACTGGTAGTATTAGTGTTACTATTAGTACTAGTGTCAGTATTAGTGTTAGTATTAGCATTTTACAACCACTATTGTATCCAAAACAGCTTCAGCAAGAATAGAACCTAATCATTAAACGTTAATAATAGTAGAAATGTTATTTGAAAGCTAATTATTTTTAAGTAGCAAAGTATTGAATTGTCCAAATTCAGAACTTCTAACGTGGTCATTTTTTTTTCAATACATACAGACTTTTGACCATATTTTCTTCTTATTGATTTTTGGGCATATCTAGTAAAATTGTGTGTGTGTGTGTGTTCAGATATAAATGTAAAACACTTAATGGAGTGTCTCTGGGATAAAAGTTTTATAAAATGCAAGTCTGGCAAGGGGTCCTATAATAAAACACTACAGAAGTATAAATGTGCAGGTATATTTATCAACACAAGTATGCATAAAAATAGATGCTTATGCATATATATTCATGGAAATATTTCTTTTTGGGCATCAGTTGCATCTACCGCCAGACAGCCTTTAACTGTACCATCACATCCACATAACCAATCATATTAAAATGTACTTTTCTGCCTTTTAAGGAATGAAAGGACAATAACAATTGATTATTATTTTCTAGATGCATAATGTTATGATACACTTATGACATAAATATTAGTGGCTCCATTTTAAATATGAAGATGCTGAGCTTTAGGATAGCTCAGTGATTCTCAAAGCCACACACCTGGGAAGTGGAGTGGTTGGGATTTGAACCCAGGTCTGTCTCAACCCGGAGCCTCTTCCGACATCACATCAAATACCACAGGATTCACTATCCACCTGCCCTCCTCTCAAATGACCATTTGCTCTGAAGACACAAGAACAGAGGCTATATCTCTCCTTTCTCTTGGTGTGGTCTTTGTCCTTCCTCTTGCTTTGTCCCAGAGTCCCTTCTATTAAAAGGTCCAAGTGAACCCCACGATATTAACAAGCCTTTGTAACCCTGTCTACATATTCTCAACAAGTTTCACAATATTCACTCAGCCAACTGCTTAGAAATGGAGAGGAGCCAAGATCATGGATCTTTGCACAGTATTTGTCAGGAACAAACTCTCTTGCCTCCTGGTCTTCAAAGATCTCTCTCTTACTTGCAGAGTATAAAGGATTACCTCAGAGTCTTTAGAATAGGGATTCCTTTCTGCTTGGCGAGAAGACTTTGTCTATGACAAAATCAGTTCATAACTGAAAAAATGTCTTGAAGGATTTAATGAACAACCTGAATCCCCCTGTACTTTTTAAAACAGAAAGTATTATCAGCGCTCGAATTTGCCACAATTCTATTTGGAACTGGTCAACTCATTCCTAGAAAACAAATCCTGGAAGTTGTATTTTTAATCTAAAATGCACTCTTACCACCATATCATTAGTAAAATTGGCAAGGGGGAATTCTATGTGTTTAACCTCTAGTTAAACAGTCTTGTTTTCTTACAAACCAGTATGTGTATGTCCATCTTTTTGGAGTCATTTGCAGGTGTTACTAGAGGCTACCCAGGGGTTGCAGATATGCCATGTGGCATGTCAGATGTGACATTTCACCCTTAATTCCCTCCCTAATATTTTGTCTTTCACGGAATTAAACTGTGCTCCTGTGGCATGGTAGATGTTTTTCCCATGTGGGGATGTTACGACCATGGGAGTACTCAGCCTGTATACTTAGGTGTTTTCTTGTTTCTAGAAAGCTGCTTGGTTAAGAATCATAACCTTCTCTACATTCATTTTCCAGTGAAAACAAGTTTTGCTTTCTAAGTTATTAAATATTCCAGTTTTATTCCCCCTGCTACAGTTCAGTCAGGTGTTAAAGCTTCCCTACTGGGAACTGTTCCCCTAACATGAGGAGAGCAAGAAAGGTGGGTCACAACCCAACAGGTATGTTTCTGTTGATTGGAGGGTTTGGTACCAATGAATAAGAAGGAAGGGGGAGATTTCACACTTCAGAAGCGGAGTCTCTAAAAGCTTTTCTCCCCAGGGGGAGCAAAAGTGAAATGGGGGCAAGAATAAGACAAACTCTTAAGAGCAAAGGTTAGCATTCACCCAGGAACCCACTCCATTAAGACAAAAATGGATACCGTATTTCTCCAAAGAAAGGCAAACTCATACCACAGTTCCTAGAGCTTCTGGATGTAGGAGGGGAAGTTGAAAGGAAAGGAAAGTTACTTACTGTTTGGGTCTACGTTTTCACAGAGTTCTGTCTTTGCCTCACCGTTGGGTCTGTCACTGGGTTTGTGTGACAGCCGCGATGACATGGTGGCTGCCGTGACTACCGCCTTGAAGCTTCGCTTCCGCTTCTGGACATTGAGTTCAGGGTGGAAAATGATGATGTACACTTTCGGCATGTAAAGCATCCCCAGAGCCACTGACGCACTTAGGTTCATGGAGATTGTAAGTGTGGTAGTTTGTATGTAGAGCTAGGAGACACAACACACAAGACACTATTACAAATAAAATGACTGCAAAGGAAGTCTGAATACTTAACACATGACATCAAGAATGACTTTGGCTAGGAGAGAAAACATAGCCATCTCCAGGGCCATCTCATTAAAAAAAAAAAAGCTTGCACTAACACCCAGGTTAGCACCTAATCATCTCTTTACAAGGAAAAATGAAATGGTTGCTATGACAATGCAATGAAGAGTGCATTTTGTTTTTGTTTTTATTTGACAAAAAGCTGCTGACTTTGACTTAACTGAGGCCATATATGCATTTTGGTTTTGCAATTCTGATCCTTCCTGGAAATTTTCAGAAGCATCACTAAAGATAACTTAATGAATCCACCTTCTTTAGACAGCGTAAAAGCAATGAAGAGGAAAAAAAAAGAACAGGTGAGAAATAATATTAGGAAGGAGAAATGAAAGGACACAGATGGGTTGGGTGGGAGGAAGTAAGAGAAGTAAGGAACCAAGGGATCATTTTTTTATATTCTACCTCATTTTATGCAAACCCCAGGAGAGTACTATCCTAAATCGGATCAACTCACTCAAACCCTACAGTGAGTTTGAGCTCTCCTAAAACTGTCTCCCTCCCTAAGTAAGAGTGGACTGGCTAAAAATTTTTCCAAAAAAATTTTTTTTATTTTTTTAAGGATTTTATTTATTTATTTGACAGAGAGAGGGCGCACAAGCAGGGGGAGCAGCAGAGGGAGAGGGAGAAGCTGATCCCCCACTGGGCAGGCAGCTGGATTTAAGCTTGATCCCAGGACCCCTGGATCATGACCTCAGCCGACCCGGGTCAAAGGCAGACACTCAACCGATGGAGCCACCCAGGTGCCCCTCCAAGAGATTTGAAGTGATATTAGCCTAGTGAGATCCTGGGCCCCCTTTGGGAGTGCTGGGACCCAGGCATTTATACCAGCTTCATCTCTCCCAATACCAGTGAGCTCTGATCCTAATCTAGTTGACCATGCAAAGCCAGTCCTTCACCCTCATTTATTTTTATGGTTAAAATTTCCTCTCCAAACCTCTACCCTGCATTTATTCTTGCTTGGAATTCCTAAACCACCCATTATAAAAAAAAAAATCTACTTGTTTAGAAAGTACAAAAGAGGTCCATAAAAGGGTAAGCAACCAGCATGTGAGTAGATTGCTGTCTCTCTACACCCAAAAAATATCTAGGTTCATGTATAATAATTTAAGAAAAAAATAATTCTTAAAGGTCTATTGTCTCATCTGAGTCTTGAAACCATTCCACAGTTTGATTATAATTCTAAGAAAAATGGATGAATGAGTCTTAAAACATAATTTTAAAGGCAAATTCTCTATTCAGTCTTGGCTTATGGAATCACCATATGCTATTTATGGGAAGGAAGATAAGACATGAAAGGTCTTCTCCATAGTTTATTCAATGATGTCTACAGAGATTTCAGGCCCACATGTCAGAGTACCCTGCAGCAGAAGGTTCGGAGAAGGTTATTCTCATTTATATGCAACTAGATGTTTATTATCTTTAGTGTAGGGATCATCACCTTTGCCATCTTTTTAGGGCTGCTGACACAATCAAACAGACATCCCAAATAACATTAAAAATGGAGATTTCCCTGTAACCTGCCTCTGCACTAATTTTCCTCATCTCAGGAAGTGTTACCCCCATTGACCTGGTTGCACAAACTGGAACTTTAAAGGTTATATCTTGAATACTTGCATTTCCCTCATACTGTATCCTTTATATTCACGCCATTAGCCAGTTAGCTAATATTATCTGTAAGGTATTTCTTAAATCTTTTCCCTTCTCTTCCCCCTGCACTCCCCCCACACACCTAAGTACAGAGAACAGTAGCTAACATTTGTAAGTTCTCAAATTTAGCAACGATAATGAGGATAATGAGGATATGATGCACTTTTACATTGTTCCTGGAATGCTACAATAGCATCCCAACTGGTTTTACTACACCCATTTTTTAAGCTCCCTTTAAGCGGCTCTGTGCAGACTAACCGGAATGATCTTTATAAAAACTGCAAATCAGCTCACATGGGCCCCCCTAAAACATCTTTCAAAGACTTTCCATTGCCTTATGGTATGGTATCTGGCCTGGCTTATTCCAACTTATTAGCTAGTCTCTCTTGAATATGATTAATCTACACTGGCATTCTTGAGTGCTCCAAGCTTATGTCCAGCAAAGGGACTTAACACATACCATTCTCCCTACCCAGAATTTTTTTTTTGGTCTGAATTCTTCACCCAGATAACTCTTAACCCATCTTTTAGGTTCAACTTCCATGCATTTTTCTCTGACAAACTTTCTATGACTACCTGCTGCTCCACGAACTTGAGTTTTCTCCTTCCGTGATTTTTCTCTGACTGCAGTTTGTTCTTTTTATTCATTGTATGTATTATAATCAGTAATGATCAACATAATCATGGATTCATTGATCCCAACTCTTAATCTCCTACAGAATTTAATCTTTATGATGGCAGGAATACACCTGTCACACAAAAAAGGATTTCACAAATATATTTTTTTAATTAATGAAGAAGGATAGCAGTTAAAATAATTCCAGGGGCGGCTGGGTGGCTCAGTCATTAAGTGTCTGCCTTTGGCTCAGGTCATGATCTCAGGGTCCTGGGATCGAGCCCCGCATCAGGCTCCCTGCTCTGCAGGAAGCCTGCTTCTCCCTCTCCCACTCCCCCAGCTTGTGTTCCCCCTCTCACTGTGTCTCTGTCAAATAAATAAATACAATCTTTAAAAATAATAATTCCAAAGTAAGGTACAAATATAAGCACCCAAATGAGTAAAACTGTTTTGGAGCTATAGATATATTTTGGGTAGATATTTGTTCTTAGAGTGAATATTCTCAGAGAATATTAAGTCAAAATCCTGAGTTTCCAGAGAGGTCATATGTATAGGGTATCACAGTAAGGAGGAACAAAGCTAAGATGTAAGTTGAGGTCTTTTGACTCTAAAGCTCACTCTACTATATTCACATTCAACTAAAAAGTCTGTTTAATAAAAGAATGGATCATAGAACTGTTTAATTTTTTATTCCCCAAGGTTTTAATTGTTAATGCTTAGAAAAACAAACAACTCTAACTATTTCTAAAGGGAACTGACAGAAGCCTTCCATTCTTTACCACAGATTGCATATTTGTGTGTGTTTTATATTTAAGTCCATATTCCCTACCAAGAATAATGTGTAAATATCCCCTGCATGTGATTGAAACTGTGTCCAATTTCCTTGCCAAATCCAGCTTCTTGTCAAGAGGATGCAGCATTGCTGTCTTTTCCCCAACTGTGCAGACACTTACACCCAGGGAGATGCCCCAAATGATAAAAGGTTTGCTTGAGCAGGCAGAAAAACAGGATGAAGAATAAGTAATATGCAAATGGCATGTAAATATTATCTGAAGCAGGAACAGGTTGCAATGTCTGATGATTCTGCTGACATGTGTTTATTATGTGATTGGCTGATTTGAGAAGGTCTAGAGTAGACCAAGGAAACTGCATAGAAGAGAGGAAGGGAATTATCAGGAAGGTAAACTGGAATTCTTTGATTTTCAGGCAAACACTGAATGTCCCAGTGTCTTTGTTTTTTCCTTTAGTGGTAGGACAGGACTCCTTCTCCCTCCCTTCACTTTCTAACTGTTTAGCATATCATAGGGTGGAATAAATAAAGGGCAGTTAGGGATTCCCCTAAGGGCAGGGGCCCTGTGAGTAATAACACAAAGAGATAATGCTAAAAGGAGACCCAGCCCTGCAGTGGGAAAGGTGTGATCCCTTTAGGGACACATGGCAAGGATCTGAAACATGGAGTACCCATACCAGAGGATAGGAACCAAGAAGTAACACCTTGGTGAAAATGAGCCAAGGAATTAGGAAGGGGACAAAAGGGGATTTATTCCCCAATGACCACAAGAAAGAGACAGTCTTCTGGGTGACCTCCAATGGAAAGACCTCCCCCTGTCAAGAAGTTGAGGGGATTAGTTGACTAGGAGAGAGGAGACTTTGCTTGGGTGAAATACGGCTAGAACCTTAAGGTATGGACTATGTTTACATCTCTCTGGACTCTGGGATATTTGGCTGGCTGAATATATGGTGTCTCTCTCTGTCAAATAAATAAAATCTTTAAAAAATAATAATTCCAAAGTAAGGTACAAAGATAAGCTGAATATATGGTGTTTAATAATGAACTATCCCACCTGTTCCTTCCATCATGAGCTATACTATGGGTCTTACATACACTGGAGATATTTTGGGACAAACTGTCTTGTGCTTGCGGTTAGAAAAGTGATATTCTTTGTGCTAAGACTTAGGGCTACCAGGTTTATTAATGGTATAGGGATGAGGTCATTGGACTCAGGTGTCAGCAAAGCTGGATTCTAGTTTCTGCTCTGCCACTTAGTAGTTAACAGATTTGGACAAGGCCATTTGTAAATATATTTGTGACAGTGTATTGTTATCTTTACCTCTGAACCTCAGAAACATGTGTCTACCCTCTTTAACTACATTAAAAAAACAAAAACATAGTCTCTATACCATGCCATGAACTGAGGAAAGTTAAGCCATAATTTGAACAAAGTTAGAATCTGGAAATCATTTGTATACTCACAATGTATAAAAGTGATGAATGATTATGTGCCAGTTACTTTATAAGCATTATAAACAACTAGTCATGTATGACTTGTACAAAAAGTATGAAGAACTTTGAAAAGAACCACAAGAAGCAGGTTGTTGTGGATATCATGCCGCACTACCCAAAAAGATTTCCCTTCAGGACTGAGGGATTTATTCCCCTAGATGCTGGCTGAAGAGGCTCCCATTGGTTAAGGTTCTGTGCCGCAACCACTGGGAGATGCTGGGGCGTAAAAGCTCATCTCCCTTGCCCCAGGAGGGGACAGTTCTGAAGGGCAGCTTCAGAGCTTCTCAAAAGGCATCAGCTGAGACCTTGTTGATTCTGCATCATGGCCCAATTTTTCC